AACAGGTGCTGCAGCTCGGGAGGTACCTGGCATGTAGGCACACGTGAAGATTCAGGAAGAGTCAAAAAACACAGTCTTCCAGCAAATGTATAAATTCCAGCTGCAAAGTGAACTGTTCATATTTTGTGACTCGAATAGGATCATATAAAAAATGAGAAAATACCTAAAAGAAAGATTTCCATTCCTGTATACTTTGGCTGAGGACCACTAAGAATGCCAAATGGGTGAATCTGGAACTCTCATACCTTAACTGAAGGTGGATGGGGCTTTAAAACTTTATAAGAAATATCATTTCCCACAGCCTAGCTCTGTTTGAGGGCAGGACTGCAAGGAAGTTCAGTGTTCAGTGAGGTGTTAATGTAATTTTATGTTTTTAATTTCCTTGGTTTTGAAACCACCCAAAGAAACAATTTAATTGCTATGCATGCTGTTGTTTGAATACTTCCAACTGGGCTTTTTAAATTCACACTTTATGAAATGGACAGGGTGGGAAAGGAGTGACTCTCTTCTACATTCTACTTGCAGTATTTGACTGGTAACATCATCATTTTACAGGCCATTTACTTAGTCTTTTTACTGGCTCTTACTATTTCTGTGTCATTTCAATAGGAAAAAGATATTTTTATAGCGAAAATCTAGAAATCTAGAATTAACAGAATATTACAGAGACTCCAAAATCACTCTTCAGTTCTGACTGAGACATTTCTTGGCTTTGGTTTTTTTTTTTTCCTTCTGACATTTCTTTACAGAATGCATTGTAAGGAAGTTGTAGTCTCACACAAACTCAGCATTAGCCTATGGGCAGCTGTCCTTGTGTCTGATGGCAATCCATGCACAGGAAATGCAGTTACTAAAAGTACGTTCTACTAAGACCTGAGCAAATACACTTGCAGTGACAGACCTTTCAGATGCTAATCTCTTCCACCCAAACAATGTACAGGTATTCATCTCTACAAAGACTTTCCCCAAGAAAGTCTTTTAGTCTTTTTAGTATTGCTTACTCCTTCTGACTATAAGAAAGGCACCTCTTCTACTAAGTAGTAACTCAGAAAAAAGTGTAAATTTTCTTTACATTTGAGCAATTTTACTTAATTGAGCAATTCTCTAATTGCTCATGTCTAACCTGAGGTTAGATGTGAAAAATTACAGTTAAAGAGATTTTGGATAACACATGTGAAGGCAAGACCTTTAAGGGAAATGGATTTGCAACCTTTACTATACTGGATACTTCCAGTCCCCTGCTAGAGTAACTAACGTTCTACTTTTCAACTAAGAGTTTAAGTGAAATGCTATAGACTGTACTTCAGGCACTCCATGGGTTAACTTGCTGTTGTAGTTATTCTTTGACCAAAGTTCTGTCTGATATATTTTGCTAAGTTGTCTAAAACCTGCTGTAGTATCGATTTCTCCCTTTAAAAGCTCTCACCCATTCAGCAAGCTCCAAGGACCCCTTGTCCCAGCTCAATTCATTCTAAAATGCAGCTGGGATATGTTATTCCTGACACCAGTCTTACAGTTACTAACTGATGTTAGAGATATAAGATAGTTTTAGGAACAGAAAGGGAAATGTTTCTTTACCACAGAAAAATATACAGGAGTTCTTATAACCCTTGGATAACTGTTTTGCCCAAAGAAAGAGATATTTTACTTACTTTGGTGCTCCTTGAAAACAGCTGGTTTTCCATTTACTGGGCACTTAACAGTAGCTATGTTGAATTTATTAAAAGGATGGTATTGACATTATAATCCCAAGCCTGCAGAACTATTACAACTAATGAAAAGACACAAGTAGATATATAGAAAAAGTAAATTAACCATTCATCCAGCACGGTCCAGAGGTTCTCTTCTCACAATGGGAGTCTGCAAGATAGGTTCTACATCAAGGCTTTCAAATTACCTTGAAATCTTCACTGTTAATATTAAGCTGAATTGAAGGTTTCAGAGATTTTAGTCAAAGAATATACCCACTGAGGGGCCAGTCTTAAAAACAGCTACTCCTGTGAGTAAAGTTTTTTGTCAGATACGTCTTCTGAAAGTGTGTCCTTAAGCCCACTTTTTTGTGCTTTGCTGTCCGGTAAGTATGTATCTTTAATTACCCCCATTATCTTCAGTATAATTTCAGAGAATAGAGTCTGCTGCTTGAAGAAAACCACTTCTTATTATGGTGCAGTATCACTGCTTCTTAGGCTAGCTTAGTCAGTTATTTTCTTCTATTATAACGCCAAATGTTATTTAGATTTCAGTCATTTAGTAATGCTACACTGAACACATCAAGGATTCTGAAAAATTCCATACCTACTAGCTGCCTCTTCATTTTCATAATAATCACATATTGATATCCTTTTTTTCCCCCAAATTACACACACTGTTATTTAAAAAATAACTTAGTGTCTTAACACAGTTAAAGAGATTATGATGCAATGAACAGCAGTCTTCAAAAACACTCTTTCGTGTTATTAAGATACAGAAAATCTAGTTAAAATTCTTTCAGCTTTTAAGGAACCATAAGGAGCTTTGAGATGTAGAGCTTGACACTAACTTTTTAACAAACTCCCTCAGAGCTATCATCTGCATTAGTGAAGATATTTAGTTAAAGGTAGCACCCTACCCTGCTTTATAGAAATCTATCAGTCAATTTAAATGTTGTTATTAGCTGCAGTTTGACAAAGCTGCAA